GTAGGACACGGACACTGACCATCCAAAGAATAGAGCCTGAAAGCTGCTCAAACTGGTGGGAGCCACTCCAGCGGGACTTCACCGTAGCCAGACCAAAGTCCCCGATCTTCACCGTTAGGTCCTCATGGAGGAAAATATCTGGGACAACGGGTCAAGGAAACACTCGTCTACGTCTGAGCTCCTTCATGAAATGACAAAAAACCAAAACACTGGCGTGACAATAACGACACACACATGCTGGATGCTACAGTCCAGCGAATCAATAAGCATCGTTTCTTCTTCAGTTACAGATATTCTGTACCGTGTGTCTTGCAGTGTTGTAGTATTACGCAGTATTGGACAATCACTGCATTCTGATCCCATCACTTTGGTGGATGAATGGTAATAATATCATATTTGATATATTGGTGCACTCCCTCTGTCTGGGCCGGGGGTCATGGGAAGGTCATACCTGCTGTAAGGTGCGCTCTTCTTATTTCCTCCTGAAATGAAGCATTTCTTGGTCCTGCTTACGCTCCCGTAGCACCAAGTCCAGTTTATCACCCGATGACTTTGATTCAAAAGGATACTGTTGCTCTTCAGATCTCTGTGTATGATGGACTTGGCATGCAGGTAACTGAAGGTGAAGAGCAAAGCGTCATTAGAGCAACGGCACTCATCGTGCGATTTGACAGCGCTCGATGTTTGAAAGGTTACTCACTCCATGCCCTGAGCGGTCTGTCGGGCTATGTCGATCAGTTTGATCATCTCGAACTTGGTCTCAATGATGTGCAGGTGGTGGTACAGACTGGAGCCTTCGCACCACTGGGTCACGATGGCCAGCTGGGGCTTGGTGGTGTAGCCCATGAAGAGCAAGATGTTCACGTGACGCGTTTTCCTGGTGCAAACACACGACGTGTTCAAATTACAGCAGGTTTACACTGATGACGCAGGATGCATCAGTAAGGCGACGTTCTGCAGTGTGCAGCGGCGCGTTGGTGCACAAAGGAGAAGGCGGGGCTTACCTGAGGACTCCCACTTCATTCTTGAATGCCTGAAGCTGCTGTGGCGTGGGAGCGGTGACATTCAGCATCTTCACTGCCACATCACCTGAGAGCCCGGGGACAAAACGATTAAAGATGACGCTAATTTACTGATCTTACTATAATACATCTGTCAATAACATCTAATATTAGCATTTATATCTACAGAAGCTAAATTATACACAACACATTAAAAGGTCATCATGTTGCCTGGCAACACACAACAGCCTAGCAAGGTGCTAAAATAGCTAATTCTTTCTTTTTGCA